CTGTTCCTACAACTTCTGCTTGCGTGTCCATTTCACATTTTGGACAGGCAAAGCCTGAAATGGACACAGTGGACCAGCGTGTCTGTTTCAGGCTTTGTCGTGACATCGGGTTGGAATGAGATATCTGTTATACTGTTTAGTACTACAAATCCAGTAGAGCTCATTTAAAATTAATTACGTAAAAGTAATAATTAATTTTAGAAGGTTTTGTGAAAATAAAGTATTGGCCTAGACCAGGGGTGGGCAAGTCCAGGCCTCGAGGGCCGGTGTCCCACAGGATTTAGATATGACCCTGGGTCAACACACCTGAATCACATGATTAGTTCATTACCAGCCTCTGGAGAACTTAAGGACATGTTGAGAACGTCATTTAGCCATTTAAATTAGCTGTGTTGGTTCAAGGACACATCTAAAACCTGCAGGACACCGGCCCTCGAGGCCTGGAGTTGCCCACCCCTGGCTTAGACCCACAAAGATCATTAATGAGTTGGATCCAACCTGTGTTTCTGTACAACACTTTGGGCAAGCGTTTTGTTTTTAAACGTGCTATATAAATAAACTGGATTTGGATTTGGATTTGGATTTGAACCCAAGATTCACAGGATATTTATTATGTGGATTTACAATTCGAAACTACCACTCAAATCATATCCCTTTAGATACATGACGTATAACATAAGTACCCACATAAATGAAAAATAATGAAGAATATGTCACAACCACTGAAAGAAACACCAGTGCCGTGGGGGAAAAGAGAATATTCCAAACTAACAAACACTTCACTACACTTTGGGGTTGTATTTATCTCACCTGTCCCACAGCAAACAGTGACAACAGCATTAAAGCTATTTACTTTTTGGCAAGATAAAAGGAATTGCAATCCCAGGACTCTATAAAATAAAGATATATTTTAGGAAGATACTATTTATTGACTTGCTTCTGCTTCGAAATGACAGCTCTCAACTTGTTCTCCATGCAGAGTGTAGGGATGGAAGCAGTGATGGGATGCAGCGTAAGTTTGTTATAGACTATGCAGTATTATTCATTTACAAAAATAGGAGGCACAGTTAAATGGGTTTAGAAACAGCTCAGGAGTGGTTTCTGACACGGGCTCAACACTCAACACGGGCGACAAAAAGAGAGAATCAGCAATTTCCAGTTGAGGTGAGAGTGTCAGCCTGCTAGAAGAAATTAAAAAAAGGAGTGGTGTGGAGCTATACTGCAGTACTCGAATGCTTCTATTTCAGTACCCTTGCACTTCAATGTATAATCGCTGTCCCTATGGTGACAGCTGCACAAATCATTAGCTTCATGAACGTATACAGTGATTCAATATACAGCCTGCAGCTATGAAAAGACCCAGTAAATCTTGACTAGACATATCTGCATCAAGGATGCTCCACAACAGCTTCAGTGTACACCACAAAAATGGATTTGCTCAACAGACAGCAGTTTCACCTGTCAATCATCTGAACATCTGTCTACGTGAGAAAAATGTGCATATTTTTTTTTCTTCCTGAAGCTTCGACAGCTGTCTGTCACTATTAGAAGTAATATGTCAAAAACAGCACATTCAGTAGTTTGTACCAAACAAGTTTAGTTTCAGTTCAGACTGAATCTGCACATTTTGTTGTTGTCCTGTCCTCTCCCGAAAATATGTTACAGTTATTCTTGATAAAAAGAAGCCAGGATCAAATATTTAATTATCACCTGTATTGTTCAAGGATTGCTATAAAGTTTGAGGACAAAATGCCAAATTCATAGAGCAACACAATCACAATAAAAAAGAAAGTAGGCCTTCTTTCAGACCCAAGGTTTTATGTATCAAGGCAACATAAAAACAACAAGACTTTTGAGTCATGGAACAGGACAGAACCTGAATGAACTGAAACAACACTGTAAAGAACAGTTGACCAATGAGAGACTGATGAGTTCATACAGAAAATGATTACTTCGGCTTATTGCTGCTAAAGGTGGTTCTACAGTGACAATCATGTGGTGTACTATTTTCACACACTCTGCATTGTGGCTTAGTTTTTATTCGACACATAATGAAACAGTGTCTCGTGTTGCTGGTCATGTGAGTTTGTCACTGAATAATTTTACCTTTGGTAAGGACAAGATAATTATGTATTATATACTGACACATAACATATCATTTTATTATCTCTGTATGTCTTAATTTTGCTGCCATGTACAGTAATTACAGCTAATTAATTTTTATAAGTTACCCTAAAGAAACATTTTAAATGCTGTAAAATGTAGAACGCTGTCACACAGAGCGGTGGTAATAATTTGATGCGAGCTAATCAAAGCTTCGTCCTTTCCTTTCTTTAATTGACGACCTCCTGTTACATCGATTTTATTGGCGCCAGTAATTTACTGCACTGGTGCCATATGGATACATGCTTGGCCAGATTTCATGAGAGTTTAGCAATAATAAACTACTGGTTACAATTAAAAATGTTACTTACATTATAACTTATAAATGTAATTAACATTTTCACTTGACTGCAGTTTTACACTTTGCCCTTTTTCCATCTTCCAGTCCATTGTTTTCTATTTGACAGCACTAATATCCAGTTGAGGGAATATGTTTTAGTTCCATAAGCAACCACACTATGAAAACATGATATTTTTACAGAGCATTAACTAAACCAGCGCTGAGCTATTGTTTTAGATACATCACTATTTTAAACGATAAAACATACCAATATTCAATTAACAAAAAACATAATTATTTATGTGGTGTCACAGTGTTGTTTGAGTGTACTGCTACAAAACCCAGTTAAGTCTATTGTGTTGCATTCTCCCATGTAACAAGACTGCTGCAGAGGGCAACTGCTAGCAGTAAATTAACCTTCCACCGATCACAGTTTTAATCTATTCTAATGTCGTCTATAAAAATCTCCATGAGTGATGGAAGTGAACTTAAAAGCCATCAAATATGTCTGCCAAATTTTGTTCTTCTAAAGGTGAACCCTGAGACACAGTGAAGAAACTGAAGCCTATGCCAAATTGGCTATTAGTCCTTGTGACAGCACTTTCTAGGACAGTGCAAACAGGGAATCCAATAAAGTCACTCCCCTGATCTCACACTGAGTAACTGCGCTGTCTGAGGCTCATTCAGCTTCCTCTAAAATATCCCATCGCACCACTAAACCCTAACAAGTACTGTACAAGCGCCCAAAGTGTGTCATTCCTGCATGTTTTGAATGTTACGTTGACACTGTGAAAGCTGGATAACTGTCTGCGACAGTCATATGAAGAAGCACAGAGAGATTATTTATCTCTTTTATTGCTCTGTTTAGCAGAATGGCAAAAAGGACAGGGTAAGAGAGCGATAACGACTAAACTACAGTCCAGGTGAGCTTCATACAAGATGCTACAAAGGCACAAGATACACCAATGCAAACAAGGACTAACTCAAATCTGTACCTGGTGATTTCTTATGAGCCAAGACATTATTTTGGTTAAAGAAAAAAATCTGTGAACTTGTTGCAACTGTGACAGCTGCACTGCTTATATTTCAAATACTAGTTCATGGTGCTAAAATACAGAAAACTAAGAAATGAAGTGAAGTAAAACACAACCAAATTTGGAAAGTAATAAGCTCATCCGGGACAATCAGGATCAGAAAAAGAAAGATTTGAATAAAATATTCATTTTTTAAAAAGGTTTAGTTTTTGTTCTCTTACAAGTACAACACAAAGAAATATTTCAGCATTAGAAAATGAAAATGACATTTGACAAAGCATTTTGAATGCTGGCCTTATCAAACTGCAAATTGGAAAAAGAGGAAAATGAAAGAAAGAAACATTCAGATATAAAAAACAATACCAAGAAAGCAGCTTCAAGAGACAGAGAGACAAGAAAGAAGGCTTTCAAGATTCCAAGATTCCAAGATTAAGAAAAAAATCATATATTTGAAGAAATAAAATTATAATTCAATGAAAGGGGAAGCTAAAAAGAGAAAATAAACAATAAACAAAAATAAAAGCTACAGCTCTGCCTTTTGTCATTATCAAACAGGAAAATCTCCCTCTGCTCTTATAAAGAAATATAATCTTTGTTTTTGAAATATCTGGGCCATGGTTTCCATGGTGAAGTGACTTAAGAGGAGGTGTGGCTGCTCATTTATCCACTGGAAGGCTCACATCACTACTGGGGTCATCCCTCTGGTGAAACCCCACCCCCACTCCCACTCTCAAGCCATTCACCAGGCATCAGTAGTGAGAAGCTTCATTTGTTTCAATAGGCTATAAATCATCACTGTGCAGTCAAACGATCTTCTTTTCCTCAGTGATTACCTCAAAAATGCACCTTAAAAAGGAATTGATTGACTCTAATGGTGTTGTTATGTGCGTTATGCCTGTGTCTCAGCATAAGGTTGTCTTATTTTCTTCCTCGCCTCTGTCAGTGCGCCCCAGGGCAGCTGTGGCTACAATGTAGCTTGCCATCGCCAGTGTGTGACTGTGTGCGTCTATACAAATGCAGGCCATTTACCATTTACTCTTTATTAAAGAACTTTGGTATGAAAAAAATAAAACAATAAAATGTGCTTCACTTACTGTTGTGTGCGTGTCAGGTTTTTGATATTTTCTCCTACTCTGCAATTTCAGTCTCATTCTAAAGACACTGAGACACTTTACTGGGTGAATGCTCCCTGGAGATATTACTGCACAAGGATGAGCATGTGTGATGACAGGAATAGCTTCACCTTGAAACTTAAAGTCAAACTTGCACAAGACCTGCCGTGGACACTGCCACATTTGCAGGACAATGACATACACTGTATACTGTATGGCTCCCTTTTTAGTATGCTAATATATGACAGGAGCTTACTTTGCGATGCCAATCATTCCAGGCCGGAGTTGGGGAAAGTCACATTGATTATACAACAGGTACAGTACTTCACTGAATTACAGACACAGATTATTGAGCTAATCTGCTTGCAGGGTGTTTACTTTGATCAAAACAGAATATGTGAGTAGTTTTACCTGGTCCAGAGCAAAAGGAGGCAATCACAGCGAGTATGCAGACGTAACTGAGGTAGGGCATCCATGACACTCTATCCTGAAAGGAATCAGAGAGAGCAAGTGACACAATCAGTATTTTGTTATATATTACAGCTGCTGTACTGTGAGGTATTTAAATATTTTGCATTGTAAAAGTTTTGCTAATAAGTAATTACAGTTCAAGATTTTAATGATATTGAATGATGCAAAAAATGTTTCATAATAAAAGTGCATTTTATATAAATATATGTACATTTATAGAATTTTGATGAATTTTAGAAGTTTGAGATTTGCAACTGTGTTAAAATCCATGTTTTCTCAGAATATATTTTTATGTTGCCTCTTCAGATATTGTATGTCTAGTATAAAGGACAGGAAGTGTGGCTTACCTGGAAATTAAGAAAAACTGTGAGTAGGCTGAAGAACACAGCCATGGAAAAGAAACCAAATATGAGAAGGGGCTTCCTGCCAATTCGTTCTATCACCAAGCCCTGGAGAAAAGACAGCATAATAAACAACAGGGTTTTGTATATCATTTTTGGCTGCAGAGTTAATTTTATCCAATTTATAGATATGGGATCCACATGCCAATGGTCCACCATGATAAAGTTTATGACTATTAGAATTTGTCATTCCTTGTATGATTTGTAAAAAAAATTAACTGCACTCCGCCCATACAACCACTGAAAGCAGCCCATCCGCCCAATCACATCTCTTAACATGACCGGCCCCTCCCCTACCTTCACTGTCTAGAAAAGCTTTAGTGTGGAAGAAGTGGTGAGAAGGTGGAGCTGGAAAGCTGAGAGAAAACTATAAAAAGGAAGTAAAAGCAAAATGTGTCAAATTAACCGACATGTTAGCTATCGCAGCAGCTGCACCGTGACCAGTAGTACCAGAAACAACTAATAACCAGGCCTCACAAGTGACAGGAGGCTGCAGCTGCTAGCACCAGCTGTGGAGAATAGGCGAAGTGATGAGAAGGGTGAAATTAATGTGGTAAGAAAATTAATGGAGGAACATAATTAGGAAGAGAGAGATTCAAGGATTCAGGTAAAATGACAATGAGTCACTGCTAATAGCTAAAGTGTAGCTTCTCATTGTCACACGTTGCAGTGCAACAAAGAACTAACCCGACAACAACTGTGCCAAGCATGATATCAATAATCAAACAAAATGAAATGAAATATGAACATTATATGTGTACGCTATATGTAGAGTGAGATATATCTCTGCTGAAACCTTTTCATTATTTAGAGACACATTCTTTATGTTGGCAGAGCTCATTACAGCCAGTTTTTGTAGCGTACTGACCTCTGGAATTTTATTTTTACTTGATCAGTGCAGGAGATAGATTAAAAACAAATAGTTAATGCTAATGGTTCTAGTGTAAAGTCTAGTAAAGCCATTAAAGGTCACTGATCATCAGTTTATCAGAGTGAGGGTTATGGTCCTGGCTTAAAAAGTTGGCCGACATATCTGTAAGGGAATTTGCCAGTTGGTCAGCACAACATCTGGGCATCTTTTAAGGTACTGTAGCTTTGCATAGGTTGACTCACTTTATTAAGGTCCAAATCAAATGTGTCCTGAAAGACCAGAAGTCATTACAATCACAGGACTTCCCAGAGTCTTTAAAGTGATTCTGCATTGTCTGACCTTAAGAACATTTGACTTTCCCGATAAATGAGATCTGATTGGCTCCTACTGGTCTCATGGGTAACCATATCACTGATTTGGATGGCATCATTTTGCAAAGTTGTCCTATCCCTCAAACCTTGCTGATATGCTGATTTACTTCACAGTTCACCCTGTGATTTGCTTCAGTGAAGCAAAGGCTTATATCCAAGAATTACCATCACAAATGGGATGGTCTGAGGTGCTGCCTATATATACAGTAACATATACATACAGATTTCATCATCCATAACACTGCATGTGGCTCATCAGTGATTCTGTCACAGTAGGTCTTTGACCAGGTCCGTCTAGATTATGGATGCAGCATGAGCCATGACCCTATTCAAGTGCAGGCCACAGCTGCAGGCCTTCTTCCATCATAGTCTGTGTGAATTAAATGGCACTGCTCTTACCTCTTAAAACCAGTGAGACTTCATGACGTTGTGCAAAAAGGTCACTGTTATTTGTACAATATTTGTTCCCATACCAAGGGGCTTCTGAGTTGAGACTGAGAGGCAAAGATAGCGGGTGTTTATGTATGGTGTAGGGGAGGTGCTGAGCTTTCTTAAGAAGAAAACAGATTTTTTTTTATGTTCCAAGAATACATTGGCTTTAATTTTGCTTTTTTAAGCAGTTTCCTATTAGCATGTTGCAGAATATATCAGTCTTCATTTGTAAATGACTCCAAAAGCACTGCAGTTCACTTAGGATGTATGTGTACATGTGTGTAAATACAGTGTCCATACCCTACTAGTCCCTGTAGGCACCAACTATTAATCTTCAAGGCTCTACCCACACTGCAGAGGCACACGGATTTGCACACAGCAGCAAAACTCCAGTTCATTAAGACCTCTGAAGGTGCGAGAAGCTGAATATTTATAAGCCTTATTTTATATTTATATGACACAAAGTGACAACACACATTTGTCTATTGTAGCTTTTGTGTGCTGTACAAAGATGGTAAAAAGAAAGTACACCCCCTGATCATTTTAAGGGTTTACATATCAGGACAATTTAAAAATCATCTAGTCCCTTCCAGGTCATAAACTTAGGTAAATACAACGTCAGATCAACAACACAACAGATTTCACAATGTCATTATTTATTTAAGAATATTTAAGCCACAATCTAGAAACAATGTGTGAAAAATTAAGTGCACCCGATGACTCAGTAGCTTGTAGAACCTCTGGCAGCAGTAATTTGAAGTAATTACTGTCTGCATGAATTTATCAGTGTCACATGGTTTTGGGTGAATTCTGGCTGACTCCTCTTTACAGTGTTGCTTAAATTCATTGATGTTTGTGGGTATTTGTTTATGCATAGCCCTCTTAAGGTCTCCTAAGCTGTTGGACAGATGGCCTCAAATACTTTTGGTAGACAGAGGAGCTCACGTTCACCTCAACAACTTAACAATGTGCCCAGGTCATGTGGTTGCAAAACACCCTTCCACCACCATGCTTAACAGTTGGCGTCAGGTGTTTGTGCTGATATGCTGCATTTCTTTTTGGCTTCACATAGAGCTCTGCATTAGGGCTAAACAGATGCAATTTTGCAAACTTATGCCATGCTGGTATGTCCTTTTTAGAGAAAAAATTACATAGCAACCAGATTTCTCATTGCAAACAGTCTTTTTCTAATTGCACTGTCATGAACTTAAACCTTCAACATGCTAACTGAGGCCTATAAAGCTAGAGACATAGTTTCGGTTTCTGTGGCTTCAGGGGGTGAATTTGCTGGGGAATCCACTCTTGGAAAAATTGGCAATGTTCTTGAATCTTTTCCACTTGATGGAAACAGCCTTATGACACTTCCCACACTGATGGGCGGCAACAATTGCTTCTTCATTCATTCTTCATTGCATGTACTTGTACTGACATATACCTAAATGTTCCAGAGCAGCAAACTGTCAAAGCTTTTGCAAAAGTGCTCACACCTGCTGACTGATGATCAGTTAACCAAGTGCATTTAATTAGCAGCACAGAGCTGCTACTTACTTTCTTAATCCCCATGGAAGAAGTAAGGGTGTACTTAAGCCCCTTTTCTATTAGTACCTACTCCACCTGGGTTCCAAGCGATACGAGATGATTCAAAAATGTGACATCAACAGACTACATGCCAAAGATTGGCTAGTCAGTGACATTGCTCAATTAGTCATGAGAGCGTCTCCTTCACAAAAATCAAAACTACCATTGCGTTTTTTATAGGGCTGCATATGTGAAAACTTTCTGTAAAGTCCTGCTGCTGAGGTTAGATTCCAAAAGCTATCAAATGAGGTGTTTTTTTGTGTAATCTTCATTAAGTAAATAATGTCATACTATAATATGTCACATCTTGTGAGTTATCTTAAGATCTGATAAGGACCAGATGATTTTTGCATGTAAAACCTAAGAATTGAAAGACAGTGCACTTTTTAACATGACTGTCACAGACGTGATCTGGCAGACATCATTTTTTCATTGTGTCATTCCTATAAAGCAGTTTGAACAGTTACGTTTTATTTTGCTGCTTTAATGTGGCTTAATATCATGTCACGCTCAGTTTTAATAAGCAAACTTCACAAACTTATAAAAAGATCTTCTAGCTAATGATAATGTCTCAGTAACTCTGAGAATGGCTTAATCATACAGCTCCTACCTTAAAAATAAGATACATTTATATAGAGAGTCATAAATATATGTATTTATTTTCATATGACTTGCAGCAAAACCAAATATGATTATGTGTTTCTGTGTCAGGAGTATTTGTGCCTATAAATAACACACTTAACTACTGATTAAACAGGATTAAATGACAGCTCTAACAGAATAATACTCACAACCTAATATACTCTTTCTTGGCAGGCTTGACAGAGGTCAGGATGGAAACTTCAGCTGTCACGGTTGGCAGGATTAAAACGTCATGCCACTCTTCATCACATCAAAAAGCAGATGAGCCATTCAAGACAACTGGCCACAGCTTAAGGGCCCACCGGCCATTCTGTCTGTATAAACACTGAAAATCATTGATCATTAAAAAACAATCTCAGCTAAAAGTAAATCCACATTTTACTGTTTGGATCTTTTATTGTAGATTCAAATGCTTCATCACTACCAGAAGACCCATTTTGCTATTTCAAGATAACTTGCTTGTTTTGCCAAAGGGTTACATGTGTGACGACATGCCCAGATGTGCATGAAATAATGTGGGTTGGCATGCAGTCCTCGGCTCTTGTATGTTAACCAGCCTTATAGTGACAAGTCTGCCACAATGAAAGGGCGATTGCCCAGTAGGTCACTAGTAAACATGGCAGGTTTCTTAAAGGAGTTACAGTAGATTTGTTTGTGAATAACAAATTTATTTCAATAAAGCTTAGCATGTTATCGTAAAAATGCTTAATGATACATTTAGATCTAGATTGAGGAGGAAAAGAGAAGAGTCCATCAGTAGCTGATGAATAGTACAGAACTGACTGTAGTGACTGGAACACATAGATGCTTAATTGTTAAATTGGAAATTGGGCTTTCCAGTATAAAGGCTTCAGGATGCCAGCAGAAGTAGCATAAAGAGTAATGAAGTCCATGTAGGAAAGACATTTGGCTGGATGGATGAGTAACATGCACGGCTTTCATTCCAGAGTGTTTCATTCATTTTATTCCAGGTGTTTATATCTCATGTAAGAACAAAAGGCAGCTTAAGGGAGCTAAAAACATGGTTTGGGTTAAAATAGAGCCTTTTGTAATATTAGTGACATGTTACAAAGCCTTTTTGCCAGATCTGCAAGGAAACTTTTCTGTCTGCCCAAAAACAATTTGTTCTGATATGCACGACAAGCAAGTCCCAT